TATATATATATATAAAAGAATTTTATAAAGAACTACAAAAAAAAAAAGACAAAAAACAAAATAAACAAAATAAATGAAGTATTTTTCAATTTTTAATGAAAAACAAATATTTACAATAATTACCGAAATCTGTTTTTATACTCAGCAACGAAAGGTATCCATACGCTGGTTTCATCAACGCGTTCGAAACATCTAATAATATGCACGAGAAATTCTATAAATCACGAGACAAGTAATCGATGATTAATAGGATTTTAAGTTAGTTTAGCGAAGTCTCTCTATCCGTGTCTCCGGTCCATCCGTTTCCCTTTCACTACACTTTAAAAAATGTCCAGTCTTAAAGCAACTATGAAATTCATCAAGTTACATATGTCTTCAATCATCGCGACACTCTTAGAATCCCTTAGCTCTCTCCATCCCTTAGCTCGTGCATCCGTCCGTCCGTACGCCCTTTCATTTATTCTTCTACGTTTAAAACTCATAAATATTATCAAGGCTTACAAATCAGTTTTTCAAAATATACACGATCCGGCCACAAGCTTACTAGAAACATTCAAGTTTTAAAAGTGCTAACAATGTGTTGTTATATTGTAGCAGATTTCCATTCAAAATCCTCTTATACATTAATGTTAGAGGCTGAATATATATAATTTCGTTTTCTTCTTGTTCATCTTCTTCTCTCTTGAGGTGACATAATAACTGATAACGGTCGATTCGTTAGCTCGGCTTGATGGGTATTCAACATCAGCTTTTCGACGAATGTAATTTTCGTATTCGTTATAACCGTGTTGTCCACATTTGGGTTTAATGTATTTAAACGTTATGGTTATGCATATAGACATGTATAAAATGAATTTTTAATAAAGCTTTCGAAAATGTTTTTTGATGTACGTTCGTTCATACTATTCAATAAGTATGAAAAAAAGGTTTTTATTTTATTTGTTTGCTTCCTATTATCAGTGACAATTTAATCCAGATTCAAAGGAAAGATTTTCGGTTTATTGTTTTTTTTATTACTTCTACTCAATTGATTATTATTATGGGTGCTGCTTTCTATTCAAAAATGCATACGTATATGTGAGCGCACGTACACACGAAGAGCTACCCCTACCATTATTGTATTAAAATTAAATTAAAAGTTTAAAAAACGTAAAAACATGTAAGCCAATCCTCTATTCGAAAAACAAAATAATTAAAATTTCATTTGTAAATTTATGTATATATATATATATTTATGTATATATACTCGCGTACACACATAAAATAAAATAGAAAAATAAAAAGTTATTGTAAATAAAAAATTTAAATGAAACTAAAAGACAAACTAGAAACGAGAATAATATAAATATAATGAAATTCTAAAGTCATGATTAAAATATAGAGCATACTTCTGGGATGCCATATCACAGTGTTTGTTGTAACCCCGCTATATGACGTTGGCAATCGACTAAACAGGCTTAGGGTTGATCAGGTTGCCGTACAACGAACGACATGGTGTTTGATTGATTGTAAAACGATTTGTTGTTGTCGCGACCCATATTGCGTATGGCACCACGCGAAGTGATTGATAGCAGCTAGAAGAAGCAGCTAGAGGAAACAACGGGTTGAAAGATTTAATAAAGCCGCTGAAGAAAGAGCACGTTTGGCCTGACCTTCTCTTTCGCATCTCCACTGCCTGCCATTAGAAACAACATTTTTCGAAAGTGGCACGATCCGATGAACCCAAAAAATTATCAGTCCCTTCATGGGATAATAACTCACAGTCATAAGCATATTAACTTCTCATTCTTCGTTTTTTATGTAAAACGAACAAAACCACCAAACGTTTTTTTTTTTGTTTCGAGAACAGCTAATCGAAGCTTGCTGCTTCCATTTGTATGATTTCCTCTATTTTTTAGGCATTTCAATTAGCCTCCAATGTTTGGATTACATTATGACTCATTAACTTATGAAGTTTCAATGGTTCTTAGAAGCGTTTGAAATGAACATTTTTTGTTTTGAAATTTCTTTGTCTGTCCAAGCTATCGTTTATCTTTAACATACCAACATATCTAGAAGTATATTGTTAAGTATCAACAGCATTTTGCGTAAATGTTGTTCTCCTCCGTTTAATCAATCAATCAATTTTGAAAATCCCAAAAATATAGAAAAGAATAATATGTTGACGATATGTAAAAGAGTGGTGTATGTGCCAACGCCGTGTACGCGTGCTTTGACTTGAAACTGTGGACATTTTGAAAGAAGCAGAGCCAAAACGTTAAATGATATTAAATTTGAAATAAAAGAAAGTGGAGAGTGACAATCTTCCCAAAGAGGAAGACGTTACTCATACGAAAGAAATTTTATTAGGAAACCATATTCATAGGCCGATGGCCGATATTCAATGGATTAACGTAATTGATAAATAAACGTGAATTAATTATATAGGATAGGTAGGTGTAAATGCCTGTATAGTGAAATAGTTGACCTGACTAACAATATAAAGTGAATCAATGAACTGATATATCCGCCTATATACGACTTTAAAACACCCTCTCTTAAAATTAGATTTATAACATTATCTTCGATGCTATTTGTAATTTTGTTGAAATAATCATCAGATGCATACGCAATATAATATTAGAATTTAAACGTTGTTAATTATAAAAATAGTAAACTTTATCAATTATCGAGGTGCAGTTTCGAAGCTCCTGTAGCTCCTGCAGACCTTCTGTAGAGTAAAATCAAATTAATTATAATAAACATTAGAGATAGGAAAACAAATTTTTGATTGAAATCTACTGTATATATAAATATTCAATTATATGACAAACATTATATTCATTGTAAATAAATAATTTGTATGTGTAGTATTACTCTTATTATTATTATTATTATTATTATTATTAATATTATTATTATTATTATTATAATTATTGTTATTATTTTTATTCTCTATACGCACTTATGTATAGCATTATAAACAGAATACATAGAAAGGTATATTTGTAATTGAGTAATTACAAAAATTGAACCAACTAATACAAATGCACAAATGCACACCAATATGAATGTTTATGCGTGTCATTACTAACAATTTGAAATAATTATAAAATGGAAAATTCGTATAGCATAATAAAATTGAAAAAAAAAATATTTTAAATTCACCTTAAAATGAAAAACAGTTAATATTTAAAAACAAAATCGTCCACACATACATGCATACATATATATATACATATATACATACACACATTCATATATACATACATATATTCATACATGCATACATACTTACATGGATAAATGATTTATTAGTTATGAAATAAATAGTTATTTAAATTTAAAACCAAAAAACAAAATATATGCAAATATAATTGAAAATCAATGAAATTAATATCTTCAGAAAACCTGTTTACTATTAATTAATTTATTTTCCATTAGAAGATTTATTTAAAAAAAAAAGATATTAAAAAAATTAAATAAAAATATTAAAAAAATTTCATTTAATTTGAATATAATTTAAACAACAAGCAAGTAAGCGAATCATTATTGGCCTCAGGACAAATCTCGTATATGCAAAAGAAATTGTTATTCTTTTTAATGGTTTCCTGATTGTTTGCGATTCTTCTTCCTTGACTTGGTCGCTTTTGCTCTTCTATCATCTCCTCTAGACGTCTTGGAAAATACGCGAACTAAACTTATTTCATTTTACAAGTTAGCCTAAAAGTAGATCGCCATGATTTTTTTTTTTCTTTTGTTATCAAATTAAACAAAGCAGTAGCTAAATCCTGTGCTAGCCGTCGGTAAATTCTCTGCTAATTGCAAACCTACAATTTTCATGAAAAATTCACTTTATATTGCATACTTTTTCGCTTAAGATATAAACATGAAGTAATATTGCCTTTAAGGTTGTTGCTTCTCCTTAAACAAAGGGTGTCTCAAGATAGGTTATTTTTTGTTTCTTTCAGAGGGGACGCGTACCTACCGGCTCAATTTCATAGCTTATTGAACTGAATATGTCAGACAGGACTATTTGTCCATGCTCGATACTGTCACAATCAATACAAAAAAAGCTTGTCTTCCGCCTATTATAAAAGTACTTAAGAGAAAACAAAAAAACAGGTAGAAGGTCTTCTGGAGTATGTCAAAATTTGCTTTTCTTTTTTTTCGAACGTTTTGTTGTTTTGACTCCTGCGGTGATTTTTCGAATTTTTTTACTTGTTTCACGACCCCAAAAATATTGTAATTTAGCGGCTTATATGCGGTAAGTCGTTGCACAAGACTAGAGAACATAAATTCGAACTGTGCTATTGTCAAGTCCCAATTTTTGTTTGTTTGAATAATACACGGATCGGTTGCTCTCGAAGGGAATCAATTAATCTGTATGCTTCTGATTCTTGCGGTAAATATGAAAGGAGGCTTTCACAAGGAAATGGCGTTCGTGAACATTTGCCAAATTGTCAAGCTTTATGTACGTAAGTCACCCCGCAGCAAAATGCACATAATATCAAACGTTAGTCTTTCCGACTAAAACTAGTTCCAATTGATGATTTATAATTTATTTGTCTCCGATTATTATGACCATGTTCAGACAATTGGTTATTTCATACAGACAGCCTTAGAACATAAGTTCGGCGCGAATATGATGCTTTGATAGAAAGATAACAATTTTGTTGGCTAGAGATGAGCAATAGTTGGAGTAAAATGTCTGTTATTACGAAAAAAAT